CTCATACAATGAATGGGACCCACTGGAAGAGGTCATTGTGGGAAGAGCTGAAAACGCTTGTGTCCCACCTTTTTCTGTGGAGGTTAAGGTAAACGATAAAAAAAAACAACCTTAAATAGGAAATAATGTGGTTTTTATATATATAATTTGCTTAAGCTTTACAGTGCACAAGGTGTGGTATTTGCTCTTGAGGATTCTTCTTTCAAAGTGGTTGTTTACATCTGTCAAACTTTACAGCATAGCCATGTTGGTGGGGAATATGCTTTTTCTTTCCACTTTCAAATGAATTTACTGTTTTATGAGAAGTCAGTAGTAGAGAGAATCTCCAATATGTGCAATCTCCTCTAGTAATACAGCCATGATGCTATCAAAGTACACGCTCTAGCTTTTGAGATAGTTGGTAGGATTGATGAAAGTTTAGTTGGGCTCAAAACTAAGTAGAGTTATCACTTGAGGAAAAAAAAGTGTAGTTTTCTACTTAATAGTCTGAGAAAGATTGAGTTCTATAGCTGTAGACTAGCAAGATCGTTCTGTTTAAATAGCTATTCACTAGCTCACAGCAACTCTTAGTGCTACAGTAAGTATTGTATGGAAATATATGCTCCTCTGTTTTTCAGGGTTTTTCAGCAACCTAAATAAATGCACATTTCCTTGTTCTCTGAAATGTTTTTTTTTATAGAACAGTAACACTCAAACAATGGGCTTGCTCCAGATTTTTATTGTGTACTTTACCTGGACTTTAAAGTTGCTAAGTATGTGTTGTTACCTGCATTCGTGGGGATTATCTTGAATTGTTCTCTTCTAGTGTCACTGTACAGCACTACCTTCAAGGCAGCATGTAATGCATGGCTATCACAGCAAAATGAGCTGGCACAGTACCTCTGCTGAAGAGAACTGAGTGAAATTTTAAAGCATATCTTGACAAAGTTGACCAGAAGACATCAGTTAAAAAAAGAAAGGGAATTCTTCTGATCTGACATTGAAGGAATAGCAAACATAGATACTGAAAATATGTTTAAAGTGCTGGAAATGGTAGTTTAGAGGAAGTTTAGGGTGTACTTGTGGAGAAGACTTCTCTTCCCTTAGCCCCTTTTACATTTGTGTATTTTTCTATAGAATGTGGGCTATGATTCTGGGAAAAAGTGGTTGGAGGAGTGTGAATGAGTTACTGCTGCTTGGTAGTTCTAATCCCCAGATAGTAGAGTAGTCATTTGACTTACATTGGGACATTTGAGATGACATCTTGGCCAGAGTGAGTGCAGTGAAAACTTTAACCCTGACTTCTTTATGACTTGTATTTACTTCTTGAAAGCTGAAGCTCAATTACCAACCTCTGAGATCCTGTTTTAGACACTCCAAAGATACTCTAGCAGCTTCAGAAAAAGAAGTGAATGAGGACTGGCATTTCTAATATGCAAGTGTATGTATGTGCATTATGTACTTTAAACTGCCATAATGAATGTACAAAAGAGTAAGAAAAAAGACACATCTAACTTTTTACATTGAAACATTAAATGAGGCAAAATTCTGTTCTCAAGTAGTGGCCAAGGGCTTGCTTTATATATACTCTCAAATGTCGAACTTGCTGAAGTGTGGCATGCTATATGACTAGCCTGTTTCTACTGCCTGTTAAGCCATAACTAATCAAATGAGGTCAGAATTTCACTTTGTGTTACATGCAATTATCAAAAGCTTAATGAGGAATGTCAAAGTGTAGGATTACATCTGTTTTAAGATAGTATGCATGTTTATTTACAAAGTATTCAAGTTCAAGAAGTATGGCTGCATTCAGCACTCTTGTACTTTGAGACGTGGTTTTGGTATACACGAGTCTTTTTGCTGTGATGTAGAAATGATGTGCTTGGCATGTGAAGAGGGAAGGAATGAATTGAATAGGGAGCGCTGCATATCTGATGAATATTAATAAGCTGACACTTTATTGCATTTCCTTTTGGCAGATTGAAACGGACTATGTAGGTTATGTAGAGGTAAATACATTATTGGGAAACATGGGAAGTCTCAACTAGGAGGCTAACAAGTACATTAATTAGGAGATGCACTCTTTTGAATTAGTAATTTGGTCAAAAATCTCACAGTTCAGATGTATTCTTCTGAAGCAGTTGACAGTCAAACAGTTGAGCTTTTTAGCTTTGTACTCTGCAATGTTTTTCAGTATATTTTGTGAATTATAATGCACTTTTGGGGAAGAGGTATTATTACCAGAGATCATTATATCTTGAGTGAGAAGTTGGGGAGGGTGCGCGTTTACTACCAAATTAGGCAAAAAGCATTTTGATCTGAATTTTTGTCTCAATGTACTAAATTTAATAACTGTCATTACTAGCTTTAAGGTACTTCTCAAGAGTGTTAACGCTGATAATGTTAATTATTTTCCACAACAAATGTTGAAAATGTATGGCAACTTCAGGGAGTAGTTCTGCTGTTTGTTAAACATGATCTTTTCCTTACAGAACACTCTTGAATTTCTTTCTGAAAAGAAAGCTTTTCTTAAATGCTGCTACAGTTTCTGAGGTACTCTCAGACAGTAGGTTTTAAAGGTGCTTTGAGGAGATTATTTAAAGCTTTTTTGTGTGTCCTGGCTATGGTTCTTTTTGAACAGTCTGATAAGTTGTATGTATATGATCAAAGGGGCCTGAAATCTGAACCCTGAAGTGGTATGAAATAGATGTCCCAGTCACATATCCTTTTCCCAGTTATTCAGAAGGTAGGGGATATGAGTGGTGTTATGGTATTAACCCTTACTCTGTCATAACTTTAAGATTATGCCATCATATTGGTGTAAGACAATGAAAAGGAGCAGTACTAGATGACATCTGGTGAAGAGGGGAGCTGCACTACTTAGGAATTAATGATATTCAAATACATCATGAGAGGCTCTGAAAATAAGTAGCTTTACTCCTTAGAACAAATCTGTCTCATTAGCAGAACAGGTTTCCACAGGAACGCTAGGCACTTCATATGATCAGCAAGTGACTTCTGAACAGCTGGCAAGTCTGAGGTGATCGAATTACCCAAGACCTCACTTAGAGGAAAGAGAATTCCTTCAGGATGGATGGGAAGAAGCTTCCGTACTGGAGGAGCAGGATGGCCATGCTGAGACGTTTGCCTGGGCTCTCTCTGTAAATGTTAAGAATGTCTAAAAGATTGACTTTTCTCTTCCTTCTGTCTTACCTCTCTTGCGTGAGGGTAAATATCCAGAAATAGCAGAGAACAGAGTGGACAGCCTGGACTGTGAAAGGAGATCGGGCATGGCTTCAGATGAATGGCCTTGCCTGCTCAAGGCTCATCAACAGTACTAGCACGAAGGGAAGATCGCTGCATTGTTTGTGTCCAGAACATTGCTTTCTGGAAGGCAGTCAGGCCTGCACTGTCAGGAGAACCTCATATTTGGAAAGGCAGATTCTCCTGCATCCCATTCAGTCACTGGTGCTGCCTGAATGAACAGGACTTTTTTTTGGTAGAAGGAAGGCCTGAGCCCTTCTGTTATCGTTCCAGAAGGGCTCCATATGCACTTGTTCCTCTGTTGTGTTCGTGTTAGCAGAGACCCATCAGAACTGCTGGTTTCACAGTTTATAAGCCTGAGTGAAGTACTTTCAAAGTACACTGAACCAAAGCAGCATTATTTGTTTTGATTATAAGTCTGGATTTTTTTTTAACCATGAGAACTAGGACATTATTTTGAATTAGTTTTTAATTTGAGAAGACTATCATGGGATTTCAGGAGCAGAGGATTTAGGTCTTTAAATGTTGAATTCACCTGTCAGGATTGGAATAAAGCAAATTTAGTATCTCTTGCATTTTCTAGACTGCTGCTGTACCTGAAGTATGGCTGCTTCTAGCCAACAAGGCATGTTACCTGTACTTGGGATGGCTTTAGAATTCCTGATGTCACCACTGTGACTGTACCGAAGTGAGGTTTTAAGAAGGTGACTACAGATGTATGCATTTTGGAGATAAGCTCAACATTGTTTTCATTTAAAAACGTGTCTGCTACCCTTATTAAATAGCAGTGTCTATAGCATTTGCTGTGTTTGGTTATTTGTACAGGTCTAGTGTAATAAGGACCAAATTTTTCATGGCCACTTGGCAATGCTAGCCACTAAATACTAACTGAAGTGTAATATAGTCTCTTGGTTTTCATCTGTTATTTGATAAATACTGAGACTTCCTGTAGGGCTATGGCTAAAAATGCGAATAGACTTCTAAAAATATTTATTACATTATTTATAATAGTATTTCTATCAGTAAAACCAAGTAATATAAGCAACTGATCCATCTATATCCAAAAATATGAGGAAATGAAGTATCCTGAAAATGCCCTCTAAGCATCAAATTAAACTTTCAAGTGGGAATGAAATGTGTATTTACTTCTCCACATTCCAGAATGGCATTTCCTTTTTCCTGCTGTTTCTCAGAGGACTATTTTTTTCTTGGGCATCATGCCACATGTAGTCTGTTAGCAGTACTGAAGCTATCTGCTAGTTCAGTGAGCCTGCTTAGCACATACAGCTGAAACTTAACTTTGTTACTGTATGTAAGTATGAAGACATCAGCCATTTGCAACTAGTCTAACACCTGCACTTAAATAACTTTAATGACTGGGCACATGCACATCACAAAACATCTGAGTGAAATCATGCCGAAAGACGTAAAATAAAGACAGCAGACTGGTACCAGAATAGGGATTCTCAACCAGGAATAATTGAGCATTTATCTGAAGCATCGATGCTTCTCCGCCCCACCACCACCCCTTTATTTTAGAAGAATCAGCAGGACATTAACAATTCTTAGCAACTCTTCAAAAATATTGCAGGAACCAAATATAAGGCACACTATGACATGTTGGGGTCATAACATGTACAAAACAATGGGAATGGGAAAGAACAAGAAACTTCGAACATTAAGAATTGTGTCTTATGCATCTATTTCACTCTACGAAAATAACTGATGCTTATTCTTTGTCACTTACCTGTCTTTTTGGTTTAGGCCAACACATATGAAAAGTACTGGGGATTTTATCACCAATTTGGAGGCCAGAGTTTCCCCAAAGACCATTTAAAAAAAGCTATTGCTGAAATTGAAGAGATGTGCAATATTTTGAAAAGAGAAGGTGTAATTGTCAAGAGGCCTGATCCAATTGACTGGTCTGTGAAATACAAAACACCTGACTTTGAGTCTACAGGTAAATTTTCTTCTGTTGTTGAAAGCCTCATCTGTTTAGCTCTTGCCTGAGACATTCTGGATGCCATCTAATTTACCTTCTTGCTTGGAGCAGGATTATTGCCAGTGCTAGATGAGGTCAGCGATGCCTTTGTGTAGTTATAACTTGGAAAATCTCCAGGGATGGAGATTCTGCCACCTGGTTTGCTGACCTGTTTCAGTGCTACATGGATTTTGTAATGAAACACATTTTCCTAACACCTAACCTGAACTTCCCACACCAGCATCTGTTGCCAGATTCCTGTGCTGTTGTCACTGCCACTACTAAGAAGTGTTCATCTGTCACATTATAGGGTCCTGAAAGTAGCTGTAGGCTGTTACTGCTTTGTCCCCTACTTGCTGTGTGAAATAAACTGAAGTCCTTCCACTTCTCCTAGGTCCTGTGCTGTAAGGTCACTCTGGCTGTCTTGATAGCCCTTTGTTGGATCCTAGAGTTGGATCCATTTTAAACTATGGAGGCTAAAACTGGAAACAGATTTTTGAGGAGGATCTTCACTAGTGTCAAGGAAATTTGAATGTCTTTTTACCTACTGGCCACATTCCTCCTTTTATAGCACCGTATAGCTTTGGTTATTTGCAGTGAGAGCATTGGCTCGTACTCAGCTTTGCATCGAGTGTAGTCTCCAGGCTCCTTTCATGTCAAATGTGTTCTTCAGTTGTTCTAGTGGAATTAAAATTCATTACGGAAGAGATAATGTTAATGAAAAGTCTAACTTCTAGCACTAGTTCTGTGTTCCATCAAATTCCTCTTCTACGCTATTACTTTTTAAAAGGATGGCATATAAAGAACTGAGGTCCACTTGGAAAACTTGCTATCCATCATCACCTTTTAAAGTTGTCCGAGTAATTCATAAGCATTTGTCTAGTTAATTTCCATTAACCAAATTATGAAGTGGAGGCTTGTAGATTGTGAATGGCATTCATCTAGTCATGAGCTTGTTATGACTTTGGCTTTGTAGCAAAAGTTGCATGTATTTTGAACAAAAAATGTCACTTTGAAAACTTACTGAAGAATGTAAGGACCTCAGATTATGTGCTGGTTTCCTGACTTTGCTAAACATGCTTTTTGCCATTCTACTGGACAGAAGTCATGGTAAAAAGGAAGGTGAAAAGTGAATAAGCTGAAAGAGCTGAGAAGAGCATGTATGTCTTATAGGTTAATGGCCTTTTTCTTTTCAGGTATGTACGCTGCCATGCCAAGAGACATCCTGCTGGTGGTGGGAAATGAAATTATTGAAGCACCTATGGCTTGGCGTGCTCGGTTCTTTGAGTACAGAGCATATAGAAGAATAATCAAAGAATATTTCAACTCTGGTGCTAAGTGGACAACTGCCCCCAAACCCACCATGGCAGATGAACTCTATGATCAGGTATTGTTCTCATTTTGCTTCAGAACTTCAGTTCTGATTATATAGAATCCTGTGGATATTTTCAACCTGGTATGTGGGTTTCACAGAATTGGGTGGGGAGGGCAGCACATGACAAAACAACTCTGGATATTTGTGGGTTTCCTAGTGTGTGCAAATACTCTGTAACCTTTCCAGCTGAAATGGAGTGTGTGCAATTAGGGAATAAGAAACAGGAAGTTGTGTGTGTTGAATTAAAGTCTGCTTTGAATTGTTTACTGGCTGTAACTTAGCATTACTAAAGAGGAAGGAATGCTAGAAAGACATGACAAAGATTACTTTAAAGAATTCAGATTCCCTGAGAACGTCCATATGTCCTCATAATCTTTGTTTTGCATGATGATTAGTATTTTGAAAGTGACATAAAAGAAACAGTGGAGGATCTAAACTGTGAGTATTTACTTTCCAAATATTTAAGTGAACATTTTATTTTGTCATAATTTTGACTCAAACAATTCTGGTAGTTTCCTGTAGGCCCCCAAATGCATTAGGATGTTCGTAAGAGCATCTGCAGTAAGTGTCCTAAAACTGGTTGTGGAATGATTATGACTTTCTGGGAACAGTGATGTCTTATCAATAATGCAAAGAAGTCTTTGTTAAAAAAAAAATATCTAAGAGTAAACTTCCAGAGCCTATTCTAAAGCATAGAAACTAATTATCCAGTAGTTTTTGTTTGTGCTGGTTTTTACACCTCATTTGTTCTTAATTGCATAATTTCATTCTAAAATCTACTTAAATTCCTGAACATATCCCTTCTATTTTGAAGTACTGCTCCATTCTAAAATGTGGAAAAAGTAGAGAGTCCACCTTTGTTAGGAAATAGCTTGCATACCAGTATTTCTGTCACTGTGCAGTGATTTGTTGAACTGCTAGTTCAACTCCACTGGTAAGGAATACCTTTGTAAGGAATACCTTTGATTCAGAAGCCAGAATATTATAGAGGTAGTGGCTCTGAAAAGCAATTAACTTCTTGCTATAATTATTGTCTCTTATCACGTATTCTAGACTGTACTTAAAACCTTTACCTGAACTTCCACATTTCTGCTTGCTTTCTTTATTCTAGTAACAAGTAAACCAAACCACCTAGCTATCAATATAAACATATTTCCTTAATTTCAAAATACTCTTCAGTAGCAAATAGTTTGAAAACTTTCCCTTACCATCTCCAACCTAAAGTTGTTATTCCTTTTTCTATAACTAGGATTATCCAATCCGCTCTGTTGAAGACAGGCATAAACTAGCTGCTCAGGGAAAATTTGTAACTACTGAATTTGAGCCATGCTTTGATGCTGCTGACTTCATTAGAGCTGGAAGAGATATCTTTGTACAAAGGAGCCAGGTAAACATAAGTTTCTTCCAACAGTTTTGGTATCTGTCTTAATGATTGATACTTGTATTTGTCTTTTTAAATTCCTGAACAGCATTAAAATAAGAGTGTTGACAAAAGAAGTTGCTGTTTGTGGAATGTCTGATATACAGCATGAGTCTTGTCTTACAGCTAAGGGGTTAAAGTTACAAACTTCTATATTTTGGCTTTAAATATTTACTTAAATAAAACCTTAGACAAACTAAGCTTGGAGGCAGTTTATATTCTAGCCTAGTGAAACTTTGTCCTGTTTTCAGGTTACAAATTACATGGGCATTGAATGGATGAGGCGACATCTTGCACCAGACTATAAAGTGCATATAATATCCTTTAAAGATCCCAACCCTATGCATATTGATGCCACTTTTAATATCATTGGACCTGGTCTTGTGCTCTCTAACCCAGACCGTCCCTGCCATCAGGTAAGACTGTACCAGAGGGGCAAGTGTTTTGTGTTTAAAAATTACTCAAATGGATTAGGTCCCTGCTGGATAATACTAATCCACAAGTTTATTTTATATACACTTGAGTAATATTAAATTATTGAATTTAAATAGCACGCAGACAGTTGCTCAGGAATTTATAGATGTATTTGCATCTTGACTCTAGAACTCTCTCAGCAGTGCAGTGACCGTTCTCCCCTGGTTTTTTGATACTGCTCTTTGTGCTTTCTTATCGTGGGGCTCAGTGGATGTGTTCTGTGTTTCTTCCTATGTACATGGTTTAAATATGATGGAAGCAATCTATTTGGTAATAATGTAGTATCAAAGCAAGTACGTAGGATATAATCTCTGAACACTGAACACTTCCACTACTTAAATATATTAACTGTATCCAAGGAGAAACTGAGGGTTTTCTGTTGCTCAGATGAGTAATAGCCCTTTTTATTCCTGTTTTGGAAGCCTCCCATTTGGTATCACTGATTGTATCAATGGCAGGAGGCTGGTAATTGCTCAGGTGTTCAACCTTTGAATAACTGAGTGAGAAATTCTTTTTGAAGAGTAGGAGGGAGGAGAGGCATGGTTCAGTATGTAAAACCTACTACTTGACAACTCTGAGAAAAAGCTAACGTTGCTAAACAGTGCAATCAGATCAGAAAGCCTCCCAGAGAGTAAGAGCTCATCTCTGTTACAGACATGTTATCTGTACTATCAGTGCTTCAGGATTTTTGTGAGGACCCCCATGATTTCAGAAGCTGTACAACCATGTGGGAACAGCTGAGCTCATACTGAATCAGTGAGATGGAGCTGTGTGCAGCAGAGATTATGGAACCGTGCGCACAGCAGAGCTCTTAGAAACAAGATGAGTGTCTTCTCAGCAAGTGACTTCAGTGTAACTGCTCCCATTGAAGTACTGCCTCTTGTAATATCCATTACAATAATATAATTTTTAAAACAATCATAGTCTTTTCCTCCCCTTCCTCTGTTTTTCATAACCTTACTTGCAAGAGGAAGCTCTTGGTTTCCTTGTGTTAAACCCATGTGCTGGGAGTTTTTTTCATGGAGAACTGCTATCTGTGTAGATAGAAAAGACAGATGCAGCTTTCTTTCATGAAAACTGATTTGGCAGTTCTGGATGACCGGGAAATGGGAGGGAGGTGCGGCTGAAGGAGGGTTTTTCTTTAAAATCCTGTCCGGCCACGCTGAGTTTTCAGAATCAGAGCTCCGCCTCGTGGTAACAGTTGAATAAAGAGCTCTTCCAAGTATTCAGACAATGACGTTGAAAAGTCAGTTTTCCTTAGCCAAATTATCCTCTTATTTTTAACTTAATTAAGTAATTCTTACAGAGACAAATTATTCCTTAGAATGCCTTTATTTTTTTCCCTTTGTTAAATAAACTGCATATTAAGTTTCTTACGAAGCATGATGCAAACGTATTTTTATGTGATATTTTGGGTGGTTTTGTTCCTGTAAATGGCAGTGTAATTCGTACTAATGGCTTTTACAGTCATATGGGAAGAAATAATAACAAAAATAAAGAATTTAATACTTCTGTGCTGTTACTAATGTCGTTACCTCACAGGCTCCAAACTGCATGTGTTACCTTTTGTATTTAACGTATGTTAATATACCTAGTATATATAAAAACAGTAGAAACAATTGCTAGTGGTATTCAAAGTTTGAAAAGGCTTTCAAAAAATGCTTGTGTGAAAACTGGGTTTGTAGATGGAACCTGACTGAGGGCAGGAGTAGTAAGCACAGGGAAGGGGATGTTGTGTATATTCAAGTAACCTGAGAAAATGTGGCATTGTTTGGAGGACATAATGTGGTACTTCAAGAACCCTGTTTAGAATCTAATTAAATTGCTCTTTCAGATTGAGCTTTTCAAGAAAGCAGGCTGGACCGTGATTCGCCCCCCAGTGCCGCTCATCCCAGATGGTATATTCACTCTTTCTTTTCTAAGAATTCTGTGAGTATTTATAAGACTATTAATATGGTGCAACATTGGTACAGTAGAAGGTTCATTCTTCTGTATTTAGATCACCCACTGTGGATGTCTTCTAAATGGCTTTCCATGAATGTCCTAATGCTGGATGAGAAACGTGTGATGGTGGATGCCAATGAGACATCAATTCAGAAGATGTTTGAAAATCTGGGTATGTCCTAACATATTTCAACATGTACTTAAAATGAATGATTATGATACCAGCTGTACACATCAGGATGAATGAAGGTTTCACTTAAAGTAGGCAAACAGACAGCACTGGAAAAGGTACTCAGACAATTGGATTGGCAAGTGAGATTCATTCAGTGATTTCTCTCCTGAATGCTTCAGTTGTATGAATAGGGCTTCTTACATCCTGTGCCCTCTACAGGTTGCTGCAAATAAAGGTATGAGCAGCAATTAAAGTTATTGCTAGCATGTTTTTGAATTAGTTTTTTTTAAAAGTAACACTGTTCAGTTTGGAGGTCAAAATCTGTCTGGGAGGGCTTGAGTGCATATATTGCTGAGTGATGAAGAGCTGGCTATCCCTCATTGCCGAAATGATTTCAGATTTTTCTAGTTTCAAACTCACTGTACTTTAAACTGTTAAATTAAGAGCACTTAACCCAGGTATTTCTGCTCGTTTATGGAGAATCTCAGTCCTGTGAGATGTAACCTCATGATAGGGTAGAATTCCTTTAGATATGCAGGGACAGGAGAACTGTAATTGAATATAAAATCTGAAAGTCTTATTATGCACGGCTCACTGCAAAGACTTAAAAATCTGAACTCATGCAGCTAATCCAACTGCTTCCGTCATGCTGGGAGGGAAAAGTGTAGGTAGATCTACTCATAGTTGGTTAGTAGGAGAATGGCCGTATTGCTTGATGCTACAGCCAGCTGACTATTGCTGCAAGTCAAGTACATGGTGATGCAAAAGTTGACAGGGTAGAAAGATGACTGGTAGGTAGATGAGAAGCCAAGGGAAGTGAGGGATCATTGTATTGTAGAGGAAAAGATGATACTCCCCACTAGCAGAAGATTTCTTTAAAGGCAGGAAAATGATGGGAAGGAGAGAATGATCCAAAGGTGGAAGATAGTAACTGTGAACCTAGAAGAAGGCGTCATGTCATGGATGTGAGTGCACTTCCTGAAGCTTCCCTCACTTCTGAGATGACTGCATGCGAGAACCATGCAATCTAATGCTTTAATCTGCTTTTAAAGACTGGCTATACAGCCTTTAATGAATCATATAGCTTTTCAATCATAGGTTGTTTGAATTCTTGACATGATCAAGGTGCTGAGGATTTATAAATGCTTCAAAGTACTTTAAAAAAAAAAGGAGCCATTAATGCAAATCATGACATATCTTTCACACTTGAACTTCTCAATCTGAGAGTTCTAAATAAACTCCTGTAGTTAGTAAGTTCCTAGGACTGAGATGGGTCTACTGGGAACAAAACTATTGCTGACCTAGATGATGGATTCCACTGAGCTGCTCCTGAGCTCCTGAAAGTAGCAAGAAGCAAAAAGGCAAACATCATAACAGAAAAGTCTTCTGATCCTAGTCCATTTGTCAGGACTTTGTATAAGCTGAGGCTCAGCTGAAAAGAAGTGGGAGGAAGCTTAACCTGGATAGTAAGTAAAACAGCCTCTTTCCCCTTTGAGAGAAAGAGAGACTTGTAGCTCTGTACTTTGAGTGCTGCTTTTGTTGAAAGGCACTTGAAAGAGCACATTCAGTGTCTGAAGCATAAATGCTCACACAGATTTATGTAAATGTGCCCTGGTCATATATTGTAGCAGAATTTCAGCTAATTCTTCACATACCACAAAACCTGAATTTTTCTTTTTATTACTGGCACATCATAACGCATCAAACACCGGCTGTGCTCCACGCACTGTATATTCCTGAGGGTACTGCTGGAGTAAACAAGGCAGCTATGTTCCTCGCTTGTTCTCTGCCTAGAATTTGGGAAAATAAATTCTTAACAGATGAGTAGGAAATACTTTCAGTACTTGCATCTAGGTATATGGTCTGATAAAGCATTATCTAGTGCTCTGATCAAAGCTTACCACATGAATTTGAGATTTTAATTTTAAAGTATGCAATGTATGTTTCTTGCAGGCATTTCTACAATTAAAGTGAATATTCGCCATGCCAATTCATTGGGAGGTGGTTTCCATTGCTGGACATGCGATATCCGCCGACGTGGTACCCTGCAATCTTATTTTGACTAGTAAGCCAGATAGGTAGTAATGGTTCAGCTTCTAAAATAAGCATAGGAAATGAACAAATTAATTTCACTTTCGTTAAAACAACTGCAGGAGCTCTAGTACTTGATCAGTGGTGTCCTTACAGTGGTCTGGTAAATGATCTATTTTTACATACTCTTCACTTTCAGCAGTATAATTGAAACTACTTCAGTCAGCAATACAGGTTTTCTGGCTGGCTTTTTGAAAGACATCCTTCATCTATGAAGCCTTTTCACATTGGCTTTGAATGTAAAAACTTGACAAGACAGCTACAAGGTCTTGCTAGAATAGCTTGGCCACTAATATTGGACATCTACCTCCGTCTAATTACTCTATCAAATAGGCAGCTTGAAATGTTAAACTTGAGTAAACTTTTCTTATTCCTTTTAATTAGTCTATTGTTCTAATACATTTGTGTTTAATGAACTTAAATAGATGCAACTGTACAGCACTCTTATGGAACCAAGTACTTTTATCATGTTTTTCATGTCAAGCTATAGATATTTACAGAGAATTTCCAGTATGATCTACCTTTGAAGACAAGTTCACTTGCCGTTTCTTCTGCATTTTCTTCTGATGCAAGTCATGCATCTGAATACTTTTTTTATATTGCTTTTTGTATTGCTGAAACTGGTTTTTATTTAACTTTTAAATGTAGAAATTATAGCTAATATTCTCCTTGTACAGGTTTCATGCTGAATTGTTTACATAACTTAAAAAAAAAAAAGCACACAACAAAAAACCCCACCAACTCCCCTCTAACCCTAAACCTCTGACATCTTACAACCCCTTCTTCCTCTGACTGTAGCAGATGCAGAAAGAGGTATCAAACATGCCAGATGCTGTGAAGGAGTTTGAGTATTGGTTACTGCATATGTACTTTTTATGCTAATAAAGTTTTTTTTGCATTCTCAATTTGTTGCCCTTCTGAAAATGAGTAAGCGTGCAATGTCTGGATGTGTCCATGTTTGTAGAATACAGTTGGAAATACAAAAATACACATGGATTTTTTTTTTTTCTGTAAAACATGTAACATCTTAATAACTTGTATAATGCAGAAAGCCCTTGTACTATATTGTTCAGATAGTCTCTTTCTGCTTCTTTCTGCTTCTGTTGTATACTGAAGTATGACTGCTGGGGGAAAGTAACACTAATAGACGTTTCTTACCAGAGTGTGAAGGAATGTACTACGTTAGACATACACCATGGATGTATTTTACCCAGAGTTGAGTGGGACTAAACACATTCTATATCAGCAATCTAGAATACTTTAAGATATGCCAAACTAGAAGAGCTAATGAGACAGCTGCTAGCACTTGACCAGGTAGAGATGGTCCCTCTTCTCCCTTTAAAATCAAGGTGCTCGAGACAACCCTGTAACCAAGCTTTGCTTTCCAGTGTTGCTAATGGAGCTGAACAGCTGCTTAGAGGAGCATGCACAGTAGGTCATCTTTCCCATTGTTCTGCATGCTGTAGTGCTGACATGATGTCTCTGTGTTTGTGCCTGGCATAAGATATCACAAGGTACAGCTGAAATCATTAAAAACTCTGGCCAGCTGTGGATTAGTAGCAGGACACATGCACTCCTGATACTTCCAGGATTAAGACGACCATATTTTCATATCATGTTATACATGATCCCTACTTGACAGGGCAGTGGTGCCTCATATGAACATTACAAATCCTCCAACTTAATCTCAGTGTACTCTTCTGAAGCAATTGTGGTATAAGACCATTGCAATTTCTTTTCTTCCCTTAAATGAATATGATTGACCCCTTGTGATTAAAGTGCTGCATGTGCCATCACCTTAATGTTCCCTTTGTCTGGAAGACACACTGCTGTCTGATCTCATGCCTGTTTATTTTGATAATGAAGGTGTAGTTCCTCCAAAAAAAGCATAGACTGGAGATTTTGATATCACAGGGAAACAGTCAAGACACATTTAGATTCAGCACTAGGCTGACAGCTTAAGCTTAGTTCCCAACAAATGCCTGAACTCTGAAGTTTTTTAGTTACCACCATTCATATGCTGTTCTGATTTGTAGTGTTGAATTAAGGCATGGGTATCCAATACTAAACCTGACTGAAAAATTATAAAGAACCTTGGGTTGTGCAAAAAGCAAATGGCAAAAAATCCAATAAGGACTGTAATTCACCCTTTGTGGGTTTTGGTTTTTTTTTCAGTTTGAGGGGAAAAATGCTAGAATTATTTTTTAGCCTTTCCTGTTTTGTATGGATTCTCACCTCTGTGATTCTCAGGCTCTGTTGGCTGTTTCTTTTTAGGCATATGATGCACTTCCATGGAACCATGTACTCTGAATCTACTCAACACTTAAGTGTTTTTCTAGGGTTTTAAATAAAGTGTAGTAATTATTACTTCAGTTAGAAACATATAAGCTCTAATGCTACAAAGCTGTCTTTACAGCAGGCCTGTCTCACTGAATTTTTTCCTTCAGCTCATTTTAGGAAATTGAAATAACCAACACAACCAAAGTACTGACTAGGAAGTCAGTAGTCTTCTAGTTTAACAGGAAAGTAGTGTTTTTACTATGCTTTCCTATTTCGACCATGACAAAAAATGGATTTCAAAGTTTCTAATGTCTTAGTTTAGCTTTATTCTTTGTAATAACTAATTTAAAAAACAGCTTCAAGAATTAATAGCACTTTTATTTTGTAACCAGGAATTTTGTTTTTTTCACTTAGGTGAAATAAATACACAGATGAGCTGGAATTTCTTCCTTTCTGTAGGCTTTTGTGCAAACTGAATTGTGTTTAAAAAAATCTGGGTATAGTCTCAAAGGATCAGAATTTTTCTTTTCCGTTCATAAAAGAAACTCCATTTAGAAAAGGATATTATTCAGCACTAAATTTAGGTGCCAAAACTCTGACTTTACAAGCATTTCAGCCCTTTCCCAGCTTTTTTGCTTATCCCTTATCAACAGCTCTTTTTTTTGTCTTAAACTGCACACACGGTACCAAGTCTTTCAGCCTGGAAACCACCAGTATGCTTCTGAAGTAGTTGTTTTTTTTCTGACAGTAATACAAGTTCTTTTACCTGATCCATGGAGGTTTTGACTTGTTTGGGGATATACTTGTCTCTTTAGTCATCTTTCCTTCAACAAGGAAGGCAAGAGAGTAGTTCCATATGAGCAGAGGCTTTCTGTTCAATTTCAATAGCATTGTCAGAATACAGATTGGAGAGACACGCTAGCAGAAATGCACTGATGTGAGGAAGCATTATTACCAACATTTTGGGACAATTTGGCAGTGTGAATATTTTTGAGACCTTCTCAGACCTGATTCCTTCACTGACCTTAAATTGGTCAGTTAGTCAGTCTCCATGTATGCAAAAAGGGAACCACGCTTGGGTACTCCATGAGTTATAGCTATGATTAGATAATAAATACCTGGAACTGCTCCAGTTTACCAAAGTGTTGAAGACTGTTTGGGAACCCTGTGGGATCCTGTGTAAGTCTCCTGCAGCACAAGACAAAGGAGGACAAAGTTTGCATCCCTCCTGGAGCTGCAGTATTTTCCCACCAGTGCAGGGAGTATGAGAACTTACTCGCAGGTATGTTTACAAATGTCCCTGGGGTGGATATGCATGTCTGTATTACCAAACTGAAAATTATGTGTCTCTCAATTTCTTCTGTCCTGTCAGTGTTACTTGGAGATTTGATTGTGCTGCTATAGGAGAGAATTTATGAAGTGGACAGTGCAATGATAAAAAATGTTCGAAGATAAATTTTAAAGCTCTGATGGGCTTGCTTTATAGTGGAAGAACTTGAAAAATGCTAATGAGAAGCAAATTTTTTCCCAGGAATCCACTCAAGAGGGAGTGATGCAGAGACAGCAAAACTTTAACAGGAATGATGAAGGGAACATGATATATAATATTGTTATGGTGGATGCCACCATATAATACTGATACATATGATCTTCCAAGTAATTTTTGTTCTTGCAGTGAGGGAGGTCAGCCCATGTCACAGTTGGTTTTGGTTAGACAAGACGCTGGAAATAGGGATCTATAGTGAGAAACAGAAGGGCTTGGTTTGTGCTTTGATATATGATTAATCAATTTTTTGAGGCCAAATTACATGTAGGCAACAGGATACTATTGACTGGAGGAAACAGGCATGATGGTGTGTGGCCATCGCTGTCTCAGGCTGCAGTTTATATGTAAATAAATCAAATTCAGTGTGGGCTGAACTTGAATTGTAATTTGTTTTTCACTGGCTGATAGGGCCTTATTTGCTCTTGAAGGTCAGCTTCATCTTTGGCTTTCAAAATAGACAACACCATCAAAAGAATCAGCAGAAGCACAGACCTAACTGGGAAGTTTACAACACTGCATCAGTTAGAGTCATAAGGAAAGGCCCTAAATCAGTTGCCTGATCTACAGAGAGATTTTAGGGGTGGGCTCAGCTCAGCTGCAGGGAATTAACTAACCACTCCCTGGGCAGGGGCAACTAGGATTTTCCTTCCCTCTTGCTCTTGAAACTCAGCTCTAGTAAGCTCCCTGGTTATGAGAAGGCACGTGTATTTGCACAGATGCCTGTAATAAAGATTCTTCATGTCTGTTTTTTTGGAGAAGGTACAATTCCTAAAGTACAGCACCAAACCAGAGAGGATGTGGAAACAAGGTAAAGTCTTTGAGGCAGGGATAGCCTCCTGTTGTGTATTTGTAGTTTGTGGCTGGGAATGCCAAGTGCTGGTATGATGGGAAGTTGGGGAAGGTGGTTGGTTTTTACCCTACTTAGTGGGCAGAAGAGAAAGAATGGTTTTCTCCAGTCAGTTGCTTTGGGCTGTGTCTGTGCTAGCAGAAAAGGGTGGTTCCTTGTTTTGGTATCTCCTGAAGGTTGCTGCTGTCTAGCTAGTACTCTTTTGGCTCTATTTTTTGGCTTACATATGATTAATAACCCAAACTGCAAAGCTTTATGAACAGTTCTGCAACTGCTGTGTTAATGCTTAAGAAGGGTAAGCT